CCGCGGGAGCGCACCCCGGACCGCGCGAGCGCACCCCGGATCGCGCGAGCGCACCCCGGATCGCGGAGCCGCACCCCGGACCGCGGGGCCGCCGCCCAGCATGAGCGCCAGCAGCCGGCTGTGCTCCGGCTACTACAACCTCAACCGCACCTTCGTGCAGCCCTTCCGCTGTCCCCGGCGCGGCGAGGGCGCCGCGCTCCGCTACTGCTGCGGCTTCGCGGACCTCAAGTACTGCTGCAGCGAGCCGGGCAGCTACTTCCCCTACGAGCACAGCTACATGTGGAGCCTCAGGTACCTGCGCGGGGCGCGCGGGGCGCGGGATGGCCGGGCGGGAGGCGACCAGCTGGCTCAGGTCCCTCGGGCGGGATGCGGGGCCCCCGACGGAGCGTGAGGCCGGTCACGCCTCGATGCCGGGACTGGGGGCCGCGGCGGCCGTGTAGGAGCGCGGGATCTGCCCTCCCCGACGCCGCTCCGACCGGCCGCCCGGCGGGAAGGACAAAGCTCGGCCCTGTCTGGCAGGTCGGGGCAGGGCGTTGCTGGCCGACGGCGGCTTTGTTATTGTTAGTGTTAGCAGCATCGTTGCCTTCGTTGGGCGCACTTGAGCAGATAGGAGGCTCCTTCAGGACTTTTTGAAGCATCAAGGTATTAAGTCTCCTTGGGGGTGTGAACTATTTGGCTGTATTTTTCTTTTTTAAATTAAAAGATGGGAAAGATGTGTGTGGCGGTTCGCAGGTGAGCACAGGACAGTGTGCCCTAGAACTTGCTCTTTTTAGATCTGACACTGACTCCACCGCAACAAACAAACAAACCAAAAACAAAACAAAACAAAACACCCCACAAAGATAGAGCGTTTAGTTTAGCGTTTAGGGGAGGTAAATGTATTAGTGTTTCATTTCCATTCTAATTTAAAATAGTTCAGTTGCAAAAAGCAATCCAGAAGTTCCCAGCCCTTGTCCTGAGATTCTACAGTGGCTGGAGGAAGTGAAGTTGCCAGGTAGGAGAATCGCCCCCATGCTGTGCTGGCAGCTTTGGGCCTCTCTTGGGACTTGAAAAGCAACCGCCTCACACACTGCAAAACCCTTGCAAGACACCTTCTTTCTCGACCCTTGGGTCTTTGACCCAATGCTAGAGAGCAGCGAAGACATTAGAAGGTGGAGCCTTTCATATTTCTTTTCCCTGTGATGGTAATTTTATTTATTCCAGCTAGACACTTTCATTATTAAGTGCTTTTCCTACCCTCCACTCTAAAAGACGGAATACTTTGAGGTGATTCTTTAAATTTTGCCTGGAAAATGAATGAGGTCCCAAGATTGTAGGAAAAATAATTTCCACGTTCATCCTAAATTGTTTCTTGGGCCAGGGATATAGCTCAGCGGTGCAGGACCCGCCTGGCAAGCGAGAGGCCCCAAGTTCAACTCCTGGCACCAAAAAGAAAAAAGCAAAAACAAAAACAACACTAAATTGTTCCTTATAAACTTATTCACTTGTTTCTGGGAAGGAGGAAGGGAGGGAGGGAGGGAGGGAGGGAGAGAGAGAGAGAGAGAGAGAGAGAGAGAGAGAGAGAGAGAGATTCCACTAATAAGAATTTCTCCCAAACTCCTAGCATCATCCAGAATTTGGAATACATCTGGATTCTACACCACATGACTAAATCTTATTGCTTGAAGCAATAAAATATTTTTTTTCTATCTTGCAAGCTTCAAAAAGTTTCAAAAGGTGTTGCTACCTTTCTGTAAGTTCACCTCGCAAAGTTGGGCTAGAGTAGTGAAGAAGAAAGAAAGAGCAGAGAATTCCAGTTTCTCCTCAGTAGATTATTTGGAGAGAGAATCTTTGTTACACTACCATATTATCTGGCCTTTTCGAACATAGCAGTAATCCGCCTTTTAGTCTTTGCGGACTTTAATAATGGTACAGCACCTCCAACAGAGAGACTGGCAATGCCTAAGTCAAAGTCGACTAGAAACTGTGGCTGAGAGTCTAAATAGCTCTAAAGTGACATGCAGCTGAGGATATAAAACATTTCTAAGATTTATGAGGGCATAAAAGAGTAAAGTACCCGCAGGGGTCTACATTTAGCACTGAAGAAGTGGACAGTACCACTCAGTTCCTGGGAAACAGAAGAATGACTTTCACGGATGATCTCAGTTGACAGTGGTAAACCTGGGTTTCTGGCAGTTTCTGAGCTTGGAGAATGCCAAGGGAGGTAAATGTATCAGTGTTTCATTTCCATCCTAATGTAAAATAGTTCAGTTGCAAAAAGCAATCCAGAAGTTCCCAGCCCTTATCCTGAGATTCTACAGGGGCTGGAGAAAGTGAAGTAGCCAGGTAGGAGAATCGCCCCCATGCTGTGCTGGCAGCTTTGGGTCTCTCTTGGGACTTGAAAAGCAACCACCATCTTGTACCGTGAGAAAGGATAGTTTTCCTTTTTGTGCCTGACTCCCACTCCTCTTGTCTCCTCTTATAAATCCCTAATGTCTTTGAATTTCCTTTGATAGTTTTTTCTAGCACCTAGGAAAATAATGTCAAATGGACAGAGTTGTTCATAAATGTAGACTCAGTAAGTATTTGCTGAAAAGCATATTTTAGGAGATTCCTAGAGCTCCAGATTTCATGACTAGATTTCATATATATAAAGTAATATTTCTATAATGTTTGGAGCTCTAATAGCTGAAACAGCAGGGCCCACATTATGAAGAATGTTCTTTCACAACAGAAAGCAGAAAGGAAAGGCTTTTTGTTTGTAGTTCAGGCTGCAGTAGGGTAGATTTTTAATTTGAGTGTTAAAGTTCGTATTGTGTTGAATTTAATCAAATTAACAATTTTACATTTTAATTGTCTAAATGACTTTTTAGTTTATTTTGAAGACGTTTTAATAACTGAGTTCTCACTTCAGGAATGTGTCCAGGTGTCTAATCTCTTAACGGTCTTGTGCACTAAATAATAGATGGACTGCATAGCTATGTGTTTGTGTATAGAGGAGTAATTCTAACACTCCCTGATGTAATCTACAAAAGTCACCTTTGGTGCAAACAAGCGTAAAAGCACTTTCCAGACAGAAAGCCTATCCCCCTTAGAGGAAAGTAAGGGCAGACCCTAAGTTTAAAGATGTAACTCTGTACAGATTCTGCCACAAAATTACTTAGTTTTATGTTCAGCGATGGAGCCAACATTAATAAACCAGGCACAAGAACTCTGGGAGCTTGATGTCTCAGGAGACACTCTCTTATTTGCAGGAATGCCTTATTGCCTCAAACAAGGACAAGTGGGATAAGTGTAGCCTTCACATTCAATAGTGTTCTTCTTCCCAAAGATACAATGTTCCTGGAACCCTGGTCAGATTGTCCTTTCCGTCCCTTTTGTTTGTCTGGTCCCTAATTGCTGGGAGAGAACAGAAGCCTAAAGCAAGACAGGGAGGTAATGAAATAAAAGATTATTAGTTTTTAAGGATGTGTTCCACCTTACTATAGGTGGATTGTTCAGCATCACTTGTCATTTATTTTCAAGTACTGAATACTTTCTACAACCTAAATATGTAAGTAGTCTTGATAAGTCCACACAACACTATGGAAAAAGCAAAACATCATGAGTAGCTTAAAATGTAGTTGTAAATATTTACACACAGAGACAGACAGACAGACAGACAGACA